TTAGAGGCAAAAAGAAAAAAAAAATCAGTCCTTATTTCTTAGGTAGGTTATAGTTTCCAGTATCTTCCATAATCGTTTAAGACTAAAACCTCAGAATCAACAGTGTCCTAGAGAGAGTCACTTAACTGCTGATTAAAAGTGAAGGAAAGGGGAAGGATCCATCTTTATGGAATAGAAATTTTCCAAGAAATTTATCTGGGAGGAAGAATAATTGATTTCTAAATGATCTTAACCTTTCCTATCAGAAGGTAGAAAATGTTTGTACTTAGATGTTTAATCTTGCAGTGATCCCAAGATTTATAAATAAGCCAACTAGGGAAGCCAGGCATTTAAATACACACGTAAGAATAGCTAGAATGCAGGTGGTGGTTGTAGAAACAGTTTGAAGTGTACAGATTGAAGAGCTGACTTGCTTCTCTCTCTCCATGTGGCTGGCTTCACAGGCCTGGACGATGTGCCTCCATTGTCTCCTTTGCAGCCAGTTTCTGAGCAGGAGGCTGTTCGGATTATCGCAGACCCTCCTTTGCCCCCCGATTCATTCACACTTCGAGACTATGTGGATCATTCGGAGACTCTGCAGAAGTTAGTGCTTCTAGGTAAGTCTCGAACGTACTCTTCGTTTCTTTTTACTTGGTTTAAATCCAGCATTTATAATCTATCACAGTAGTACATAGGCATGAGCAGAAGTCAAACTGTGTGGATGGCTTCTAGTGAAAACTGTACTCCCACTTCATCCTTCCTGACATGGCATCCCCTTCCCCAGAGGGCCCACTTCTGTAGCTCTTTCTGTGGGTATTTAACCCTAAATGTCTTTGTAGTTACTTACTGGTACAGTGCTGCGGTTTGGCTCATTCGTTTCAGACATCAGTTGATCTCATGTTCCCCCTGTTCCCGTCAGTTCTTCCAATATAGTTATAGTAACAAGTTTTAGATGAGTCTTTAGTCAGTGCTTACATAATGACCATAAATATTCCTCACTGCTCTCCAGGAAGTGTATTATGATTATTTTCCTTCCTGTAGAACTTTTCATTTTTCCATGAGTAATAATTGTCTTGTTTTTTATTAGTTTTCTTCGTTCTTTGGGCCATATTCTCCCACACCTTCCAGTGGCCTCTCAGGACAGTTTTTCCTACAGTTAACCCTACAGGGCTTAACTTGTTCCATTTCCCCACTACCCCGACCTTCCCCCTGCAGCCGACTGTCCCCCTGGATGTGATGGGTTCTCTCTAGGACTGCTCCATAAGTATCTGAGCTCTTGACATAGGATGCGCTTGGATTTGGGTAGTTGAAGGCACCCCAGGGATCTGCGAGCTCTTACTTAGTCCTCTTGTTTTCAGTCTAGCACCTTACTGCAGCCTTCTGCCTTTTCCATCGTCTATGGGTCTGGCACTTCTCTTACTTGATTTTCCTAGATGATGAACCTTCTTTCTCCTGGAGGATTGAGAGGAAGGCAAGGAATTATCTCAGATCCATCTAGTTTAGGTCCTCGCTTTTCACTGAAAAGTTAGGAGCTTCCTAACTTGATAGTCTTCTCATCAGCAATATTGCCCTGATAATCTCTCTAAGGTTAGTGCTCTGTCTAATTACTGGCAAATCCGACTGCCAGTAACCTACTTGAAATCCTTTAAAGCTTTCCCAGGGCTTCAAAGTTTTTAGCTTCGCTGCTTGCCACCCTTCCTCTGGTTGGTCATCTTGGGCAACTGGAGAACTTAATTCAAATTCATGTAACTTCTGAAGTACCTTCTCTGACCTTCCAAACAGAGTGGCCTTTCTCCGGGCTCCCCACCTCCTTGCTTCGATCCTAGACTAATAACATTGCGATTGTTGACTCATGTCCCTGGGCAAGTGCCTAAAGGTTTAGGGGATGGCCATGTTCTCAAGAAGCTTCAAGAATTCACAAGCACCTAAATACACACATACGAATAGCTAGAATGAAGGATGAAAGCGGTAAGTCCCACATGAGGAGCACAAAGCGATGTGTGGGTTCAAAGGGGAGAGAAAGATGACTTCTGCTGCAAGCAGGGGAGCCAGTGTCCTTCCTCTTAGAACAGCTTTCCCAGCCTTGTGATCGGTGCTCTGAGTAAGACAAGATAAAATAACAGGGTCCCTACCTTCAGATAACTACAGTACACCTAGAGCTGTGGCATATGCCAGGCATTCCTTCATCTGTATGCTGATACTTCAGGTGCACACCTAAAAGGTAACTTGAATGACAGTACTGTAGAGGAACCATGACTGCCTTCTCAGGCAGGATTTCCGAGGACCTAGTGATCCACTTCTCTGTTTGCTTCCCAGATCTGTTTTCTGCCTTTCTCTGCCTATTCTCCATCCCAGGAGGCTAACGTCTGTGCACGAGGGCTCCTTTGCCAGCTGGCTTCTGGGCTGCTTGAGCCCAGTGGGAGGCACCTGCAGGCGGAGAGGGAGGCAGGTAGGAGTATTTTTTCCTGTTCCCTCCCTGCTCTGCGTCATGTAACTGTCTCCTCCATGACAACAGCTCCTACTGAGAAACCCTTTCTTAATTGCTTCTAGCTCCCTTTGTGTTTGGGTAATACTTTTTCTCCCTGTGTCTTTAGCTCTAAGGGTGCCCTCATTTGTTCTCTTAATTCTGCTCACACCACTGTCTCTCCATTAAAGTTGTTTTCATTTGAACTTTCTAGGGCAATTTCTTTTGCCTGCCAGACCCTGATGGATACAGTAAATAAATATGTGTAACACTAACCAAACACAGCAGTAATGTTTGTAGTTACTGAAATGATGGGATAAAACCAACTTAGACTGTGGTCACCTAGAAGTTAGAATCATTCTTTATTATTCACTTTCTATATCCCCAGAACCTACCGGAAGGGCCTGGTCCATAGTAGGCATTCATGACTATTTTTCAAGTTAATGAAATTGTAAGCCCATGATTTGTGCTGACAGCAGTGTGCCCTCCTGATTAGATTCAGTTCTCCGTTTGCTGGGAAAAAGCAGCTTTTCAGGATTTTTGTTTCAGCACAGTCAGGATGTGACAGCTCATGCTGAGCAAGGCACTTTAGCACATGTAAGCTGTAATATTTATTTACATTTGAAGTCTGAACCCTTTATGTTATTTTTAAAGCATCCCTTCTCCCATTTTGCACAGATTTTTGAAACTGGTTTCTAATTTATCTGTTCATTCAAAAATTTCATTTTTTAACTTAATATTTTAAATTGCAAAAAAATTGTATCGAGTTGTTAAAAGTGCAAATATTACAAAAGAGCTCTTAACCCCTCTACATTGTCAGTCCACTTTTCCAAAGGTAACCCTCATTATCAACCTTTTTCTATGCAAATATTACCATACAGAAAGCTATACATAGGTTTTGTACTTTTATGTAGTCAAACTTAATATTATTTTTTAAATTCTGTGTTTTCTTTTAGTAGTTTTAAAGTTGGTATACTTTAGGCTTATATCTACATGAAATTAATTTTTGAATCAGATATAGAAGGAATTCTTAATTTTTTCCAAGTGGTCCCATTGTATTCTACTGAATAGTTTCCCCCTTTGATTTGAATGCCACTGTTACTGTAGGCCAGATTTTTAATTCATCCTGACTCTTTTTCTGGTCTTCATTCTGTGTGTGTGTCTATAGTCTTTTTCTGCTTTCAACCATCTTAGGTCAATACCTGATTAATACCCAGAAATTTGAGTTTAGAATATGGATCTAAAAATATCAGATAATAATTTTTGTATTTATAGATACCATTAAAGAAATAATGTTTTTATTTCATTGCTTCTATATTCTAGACTGCAAAGTTGCATCTATAAATCAATTTGAGTTATTTTTAACCTGATGAAATATGTTAATGAATATGACATTTGAATCTAAAATTAGGGTTTTACATTATCCTTAAATGTTTAGTCTAAAGTAAGGAATAGGCCTTTCCTACTCATGTTTATTTTCTAAATCACGTAAAAGGCAAAAAATGAGAGAATCAAGTGCTCGGTTTTAATGAGAATTTTGAATTACAGGTTACTTTGATTCTCTGCCTAATTAATGCTGACACCTAATTATATCCATCACCAAAGAATGATTTGAAATGACACGTTGATATTGTTCCTTTTTACTCTTTCTCTCCTGTCCTTGTGTGGTTTACTTAGATCACCTCGGAGTGGTAATTTAGCTCCAAATACAGTTTTCCTCTACATATGACTTTGAAATAAATACTGTGTTTTCATTTTTATTTATTTTTATTTCTGCAACCAGTTTAGTTGAAAATACTTTGAAGTTTCTATTGGCCTTTGTCAGTTCTCCTTTGGATAGGTTGTTGATTTCCCATCACTAATTTCTTAAACGTCTGTGTCTGAAGTTTAATGACTGAGTTAAGCAGTTCTCTTCAATGTTTGTATTTATTACAGGAGTGGACTTATCCAAGATAGAGAAACACCCAGAAGCTGCCAATCTCCTTCTGAGACTGGATTTCGAAAAAGACATTAACCAAGTACTCCTGTTCCTTAAAGATCTGGGGATAGAGGATAGCCAACTGGGAGCATTCCTGACGAAAAATTATGCTATTTTCTCGGAAGACCTTGAAAATCTTAAGACTAGGTAGGGTTTTTAGAATGATTCCCACATAACCCACGAAGTGATTCTAAAGGAAATATATGTGTTGTTTTTTTAAGTCTCAGCTGCAGAAGAATCAACCGAGATAATGAACATGAATGTTATTGTTTTGTTTGGACTTTGATCAAAATTAAGAATCTAAAACAGGTTGTTTTTTTTTAATTCAACAGCCCATTCTTATTTTTATCTGAAAACAAAAACATCAAACATAAAAACTTCTTGCTGAGTCAGTACTTAACTGTTTCTCTTTGGAAACTGGAATAAGTTTTCTTTTAAATCCATTAACAAATGTCAGGATTATCTGAGAGTACATTTAAAGTTAAGAAAGCCTGAATTTGTTTGTTCTTTACTAGCTAGTTTTTGAAAGTAAACATTTGACATTCTCTCGGCAGATTGTTATATCATTTGCTCAATCGTTCTCATAAGTTAGCTATTTTAGTTCCTTTTTTTGTCTTTCATTACCATTTCTATAAACACCTTTGTGCTTCCTTCAACATCCAAAGAATTTATTGAATCTGTGATATGAATACAGTGAGGTAGTATTGATCTATAGCAGTGATGGCGAACCTTTTGAGCTCAGCCTGTCAGCATTTTGAAAAACCCTAACTTAACTCTGGTGCTGTGTCACATATAGAAATTTTTTGATCTTTGCAACCATAGTAAAACAAAGACTTATATTTTTGATATTTATGTTATATATTTAAATGCCATTTAACAAAGAAAAATCAACCAAAAAAAAATGAGTTCGGTGTCACCTCTGACACGTGTGTCATAGGTTCGCCATCACTGGTCTCTGGGATAAGGATCCTGCTAGGCATTGGGAACACCACAGAGAACAAAACAGCCCCTGTTGTAATTCACACGTTGAATTCATCAGCAGCCCCACCTCTCACCTCAGTGACTCCCTGTCCTCCCAGGCTCGCTGAATGGAGTGCTGTGACCTGTTGCCCCAGTCAGAAATGCTGGTATTAACTTGGGCCACTCTTTTAGCATCCACATCCAATAAGTCACCTCGCTCTGTCAATTTTACCTTTTTATATCTCTCCAGTCAGTCACTGCGTTTCTCTTAATCTTTACTTTGAATGCTTTACCTCAGGTCATCATTTTGCACCACGATCACTGCAGCAGTCTCCCAGCTGGTCTGCCTCCAGTCTTCTCCCCCAGGCTCTTCTCACTCTGGTGTTGGTCTCACCACATTTCAGAGAGCTTTGCAGTTCCTTAACCTTCATAGTTTGACGGTCTTTTTTTGCACTAGGAAAAAACAGACCAGCACATTCCTTATATGGAACAACTTGAGCCCTTATTATAAAGCAAAGCACTGGGCTAGACTTCGGTCATGTAAGACAGTCACGCTCTCTCCCTTCATGGGATTTCATTACAGTACAGAGGAGGGAAAGAAAGACTCTAGGAAATTCAGTCTGACATACCCACATCTCCTCCTGGCTCTCTGGAACACTATTTTCTTCCCATTCAAAAACCTACTTGCCCTTAAAGTACTTCCTACTGTAGTACTATTATAAAGGCCTCATTTTATAGGGGAGGCACAGAGAGGTTAAATAATATGCTCAAGGTCATGTAGCTAGTGGCAGGCCTTGGATTCAAACTCAGTTAGTCTAACTCCAGAGTCCTGGCTACTACACCTGGCTGTACTGTCTCTTTACTTCTAATTCTATGAAAGAAACTTAAGTGTAAAAGGAGTTTGTTACACATGCTCCTAACAACTAAGGAGTATTCTCATACAGATGGTAGTTGAATGGTTCCTAAAGCCTGGCTGATAAATTAAACTGTGGAGCATTTTTTAAATTAATTTGAGTATTTTAATCAGTAATTTATCCACATGTACTCAAAGGGTGTACAATGAAAAAGAAACTGTATTTAATTGAACTTAGCTTTGGTTTATGTACAGGATTCTTATTTTCTAGAATTTCTAAAACAGCACTGATTTCACATACTTGTTTTCTTTTTAATGAAGAAAATTTTAAATGTGTAAAATGTTATTTGATTCTTTATAAGAATTTTCAAGTGAATCTGCATTTAATTATTTTTTTCTATTTGTGCCTTATATGTATAATATTTTATTGGTAAAATTATCACAATGTAGACAACAGTTTTGATGTTTTAATCAGATATTGATTCTTTTACTGCCACACAAACAAAGAGTAATCCTCCTTGGTGACCAAACTGAAAGGCTACACATGCTGGGCCCTTGGACTGTTGTGGCAGACCTGGCTGCAAGCATAATGAGAATCTTAGGCAGGTGCGTCCAACTTCCACCATGATTAAGGATCTGTGTGGAATAAAAGCAAACGTCTTCTATGGTGTTCCTTGCATCTTGGGACAGAGTGGCACCTCAGATGTTGTGAAGGTGACCCTGACACCCGTTTGAAGAAGAGTGCAGACACACTAGGGGACCCAGGGGAGCTGCAGTCTTAAAGTCTCCTAATGTCCTACCACCTCACTGTCTCGGCTGCAGCAGGATTTTAGTTGGAGATTGTACCTATTGTCCTTTTTATCTGATCTCTGACTAAAAACATTGGTTTCCTAAATACAGATATAGGAGTGGCTTGTAAAACCCAACATCTGTATCCTGATGCGGATGGTGCTTGTCTTTTGTCGTCCTAAACTGGTTAGTGCGAAACAGTCCCACTTCCTCAAAGCACCAGTGTTGCACACACTACAGTTGCCTTGCAAAGTAGATGTGTGTTCACTGTGTTATATAACTGTGGTTCCTTTACCCAACATGCCTCAGCCAACACTTTTTCTCTGATCCACCACATCCTGGGATTCAATGTAAAAACAGTATTAAATGTCCTGTGCATAACTATCCTAAAGGATCTTCTTTTGTGTACTAGATGTATCAGATCAGTATACATTGCTATATAATGTATAAAGAAAAGCCTACATATGAATAATGCAGCCAAGTTTCATAACTACTAAAGCACCAAATGAACGGTGAAAAAAAAAGTAACCCTCCTTTCTGCCTACTTACTCCTGTCCCTCATCGTCCTTCTAAAAACCATCCATGGAGGCAGCTACTATTATCAAGTTTGTTGTTCAGCCTGCTAAGAATGTTCTACTGTACACAAGCATATATGCATTTCTTTATACATGCATACACATGAGCACACATACATACAACTGGTAACATTTATACATGCTACTAGAGGCCCGATGCACGAAATTCGTGCAAGAGTAGGCCTTTGCAGCCCCAGTTGCCTCAGCCCTCCCAGCCCTGGCTTCATCTGGAAGTTCGTCTGGGTCTGGACAGTTGTTCCGCTGTTCAGCCGTTCGGATGATTTGCATATTACGCTTTTATTAGTATAGATTCTGCACCCCACTTTCTTATGTTAGCTATACTAGTGTGTTGTAGATAGTTTGATATTGGTGCTTCCTGTTCTTTTTTTATCCCTCGTGTAGTTCATACTTTGAGTCTATGTAGTCCCTTATTTGTAAACATGGTGGTTGTTTGTGGTCTTTACTATTTCAATGAGGCTGCAGTGACTCTCCTTGTATAGACATCGTTCCACACGTATTGGTGTGCATCTGTAGGAAAGATCTCTAGAAATGGGTCGGGGGGATTATAGGTCAAAGGATGTGTGGGTTTGTCATTTTAATAGGCGTTGACAAATTGTCCCTTGTGTAGGTGGTGGTTGTCCAATTTGTACTCCCACCAACATTGTACAGAGTGCCAGTTGCCCTATTATCCTCACTAAAATGGTGTTACCAAACTTTATGATTTCAGTTCATTTTATAGATAAAATAATGCCTTATTGTTTTTGAAATGATGTTTTGAACATCAAATATTTGGAGCATTTTTCATATGTCTATATTTAACCTTTTTTGGTAAGCATTCTTTTATATAAGAAAATATGTTCTTCCTTGTGACATGTAAATGTTTTCTGAAGTAACAGTCATTTGAATATCTATAATAAAAGCATAATATGCAAATCGACCGAACGGCCGACCACGCTATGACACGCACTGGTGCCAGGCCAGCCAAGGCTGGTGTGATGCGATCGTTCCAGGGCCCTCGCCATCACCCCACGATCACCCTGCAGATGGAGGCCCAGGCCACTGGCTGGCGGGGCAATCAGTTGGGCAGTGGGGGGGGGGGGGGGTCCGCGGTCTCCCAAAAGAGGGAGGCCCAGGCCACCTTCTGCGGGGCGATTGATTGGGGCACTCTGCAGAACTGGGGAACTGGGGGTGTGTGGATGCAGACACGGGCAGCACCAGGCCAAGGCAGGTGCGGACGGGGGGCGGGGCCATGAAGCTGGGCCACAAAATGGGCTGCGAAGCCGGAAGCTGGGGAAAGGAAGGCCTACCCTCGCATGAATTTTGTGCATCGGGCCTCTAGTAAAACATAATGTCTGATACATGGTATAGAAATATTGTAAGTGTTAAAGGGAGGCATAGAACTTAGTTGAAATCTTAATTTGCCATTAAATAGCTGGTAGTTTTGTAAGTTAATTTCTCTGGACCTATGTGTTTTCAAATGTAGACATTTTATCTGGTTCACAAGGTTTGTGGGGTTTTTTTTTTTTCCTGATAAGAATTAAACAAGATTATGTCCTGATATATTTTAGACATTTACTATAGTAATAACACTGACTTTTACTCTGTTTATAGATTTTTAAAAATCAATACTGTTATTTTATAGTCAGACTTTCTATATTTCACTACCTTATTTTGGTTTCCAGAAATTTAGCAGGAAATGTCTTCATTGTTAACAAAATACATATTGAAAAACTACAGTAAAAATTAATTATGAAAATACATACTTAGGTGCATACTTAGTAAATACTAAGGTAAATACTTAGTAAATACTAAGTAAATACATACTTTAGTGCATACTTAGTAAATACTAAGTAAAATTCCTTTCAGTTTCTCTGAGATACTAAAATAAATTTCATCTCATACTTAAAGAGTTTTTCTTTGTAAAAAGAATTCTGAATCTGTTTTCTTAATTTGTGTATTTTCGATTCTTAGACCAAAAAATATTCTTAAACAGAATCCATTTCTTTTTTTTTTCTACCAACTAACAAAATAAGTCAGATTAACTAAAAAGGTAATTATTTTCTGCTTTTAAGTGTAAATGGGGACCATTCTAGAGTTGGATGGATGCTTGATTTAACCATATTTGGGCCATTATTGTAGACTTAGAGGCCCAGTGCACGAAATTCATGCAAGGAACTCGGCCCTCACAGCCCTGGCTTTATCCAGAAGGAGGTCCAGAAGGTCGTTAGGCTGTCTGGTCTAATTAGCATATTACACTTTTATTATTATAGATGGGATTTTTTTATTATTTTATGTTATTTTGGGGGGTATGGAAGTCTTTAAAAACAGTAATTATTTTGGAAAGTAGCATCGCTAGTAGATGTTCATCATGTATGTGTATTTGTGTTTCTTTAGAGTGGCTTATCTACAGTCAAAAAGTTTCAGTAAGGCAGACATCGCACAGATGGTCAGGAAGGCGCCATTTTTGCTGAATTTTTCAGTGGAAAGACTGGATAACAGACTGGGATTTTTTCAGAAAGAACTTGAACTTAGTGTGAAAAAGGTAAAGCAAAGGGGAGAGCCCTTGCTGGTTTGGCTCAGTGGATAGAGCATTGGTCTGCGGACTGAAGGGTCCCGGGTTCAATAACGGTCAAGGGCACATGCCCGGTTGCGGGCTCAATCCCCAGTAGGGGGCATGCAGGAGGCAGCCAATCAATGATTCTCTCTCATCATTGATGTTTCTATCTCACTCTCCCTCTCCCTTCCTATCTGAAATCAATAAAAATATATTTTTAAAAAAGGGGGGGGAGAATTTTTATATTTCCATGTCAGCTATATTTAGTAATTGTTAAATCTCATATTTCTAACAGCTATGAATGAAGAAACCTGCTAGCTTAAACATGTAGCTGTATTATTTTATAATATTCCATCAAATTGTTACCTTAAGTTTTGTTTTTAGTATGTTCTTTTTCCTCAAACAGTTTTACATTTATGTATTTATGGGGTTCTTAGCCCTTTTCTGAGGGTCATTTTAGAATTTTTAGTTTTGTATTTTCTTGATTGCTTTGGTTTCCCAAACTAGTTGCACGTACAGTAATGATAGGCTGTTTTCTAACTGCAGACTAGAGATCTGGTAGTTCGTCTCCCAAGGCTGCTAACTGGAAGTCTGGAGCCCGTGAAAGAAAATATGAAGGTAGGATGATTTTAAGCTTTTGAAAAATCAGCTTCTTTCTTGAAGTGTTTAAGTCCTCTGAAGAGGATAGATTTTCCTATTGTCATCTTAAAGAAAACTATGTTATAAATGAGGTTCTTTCTAAAAAGATGAAAATAGGAAATGATAAATATCTAGCAAGCTCTTTGTTTTAGGTGATGATATTTTTCACATGTTCACCACGTGTTACATGAGTAAGTCACCTTGCAGACACAGGTGCCTGTAATCCTAGTATGTGGGTGGTCCCTGGAAACTGCTTCCGTTGCCGGTACAAGAGTCTTTGTCGATGTGGCGCAGGTGGAAGATGAGTTTTGAAGACTGGATCCAGAAGGCTTCTGTGGGGAGAGCAGTGGCCAGCACATGGCTCTCCTTACACCTGTGCCAATGAGATTTTTCCAGAACTTGAACTTACATGGAACATACCAGACATTCTTCACCGTTTTTCTCCCAGCGAATAGCATAGAGCCAAGGGCAGCTGACTAGTTAGTATACAAAGCTGTAGTAATATTTGAAACTAGAAGCCCATCGCGCGATATCACATGCAGTAGGCCGCCCACCGCTTCTGTGGGAGCCAGTGGGAGCTGCACTGCTTCCAGGGGAGGCAGAAGCGAGCTGCCGATGCCCACGGGAGCCGGGAGGGAGCTGCGTCGCTTCCGCGGGAGGCAGGAGGGACCTGCACTGCGGAGGCTGTGGGCCAGCCCCGTTGTCCCTGTCCGTGTTGCTCTGGCTCTGGGGGTCTGGCCCAAGCCGGGCACAGCAACAAAGTACACATTCCGCCAGGTCGCTCACACTGCCCACTCTCAGCAGCCACTGCCCCCTCCCCTCCCTCCACCCCCCCCCCCGACCTGGGGGACTCTGGCGGGGCTGAGAGGACTGGGCGCTGCCATCTTTGTGATGGAGTGATGGTTAATTTGCATATTACCCTTTTATTATATAGGATTATTACCTAAGGTCTCACAGTGTTTTCTGAGGTGCTCAGTGTTTTATATTCAGTTGTAAAAGTTGTTGAGCACCTGCCCCCACACTGTGCTGGGGGGAGGCCCTGCTCTCATGGAACTTCCAGTCTAGTGGGGAGAGTGTGCGGAGTGATACAAGCCAGGGAATGGTGGGGCACTCAGGGTGCACACAGAAGACCGAACCCACGTTTGGGTGTGTAGTTTTTTCATCTCTGTCTGGAATTTTGACATGTAATGTTTCAGATAACACTTCGGAGCAGAGGCTCAAAAGCACTTTGAAAATCTTACTGCTGTATGGTAGGGCCCCAAACGACAACCTGACCGGGTGTCCCAAGCCACCATTATTCTATCACATAATTATGAGAGCTCCTTTGGGATCCGCCCATGCTGTGAGTAGCTCATTCTCAGGAGAGAGATTTGAAACTCAAGTTATCCCAGAAGTAGGAAGCTACGATCTCATGAGGGCATTGGCATAGCTGTCTCCAGAATTTACTGTCCTTATTTTAAATATTAAAAGAATCAATGTGTCCTCTAGCATAATACCAAGATAACTTTCTATTCATGATTTATAGCAACTCTACTTTCTTTTAGGTTTATCGTCTTGAACTAGGTTTTAAACATAACGAAATTCAACATATGGTCACCAAAACCCCAAAGATGTTAACTGCGAATAAAAGGAAACTTACGGAGACGTTTGATTTTGTGCACAATGTGATGAGCATTCCCCACCACATCATTGTCAGGTTCCCGCAGGTAACGCGCACAGCTCCGGGAGCGCCGTCCTGGCCCTCCGCCTGCCGCCGCTCTCCAGCATTCCAGCATCATGCTGCTCGCTGACAATGCCTTGCTGTTTGTGCAGGAACTGGACCACATGCAGTCTGGTGCTGAGGGTTGTGTGACAGTCATATTTCTTTTGCCCATCTTTTTATCAAGATAACACTCTGGAGCAAAGGCTCAAAAAGCAGTTTGAGCCCTAGCTGATTGGGCTCAGTGGATAGAGCATAAGCCTGGGGACTGAAGGGTCCTGGGTTCAATTCCAGTTAAGGGCACACACCCAGGTTTCGGGCTCCATCCCCAGTGTGGGGCGTGCAGGAGGCAGCCAATCAGTGATTTTCTCTCATCACTGATGTTTCTTTTTCTCTCTCCCTCTCACTTTCTCTCTGAAATCAATAAAAATACATTTAAAAATAAAAACATACACACATAGATTTGAGTCTCCCCAAACTAGATTCTTGAAACCCCAGTCGTAGAACTGTTGCTACCATATTGGGACTCTTAGACTCCTAGTGGTCTGGGTGGTAGTGCTGGGAAAACAAAACAAAACTTATCAACGGAAAAATACATTAACTGACAGTAGGCTGTGAGGAAACTGATATAGACTAAATTTTTGACAGATACATTTATAATTCTGGTGTGAAACTAATTGTCTCAAGCAAATAACAGTTATTGTTGGCACAGCAGTTTTATGATTAAGTAACATGGGAAACAATTATAACAGTAGGTATAGTTAATTTGTCATTTCAGAGCAGGATGGTGGATGGTAAAGGATAATGACATGAGGAAATCTCTCACTAAGGAAAGATTGGTACACTTCTGGTTATATTCAGGATTCCATAAAACTTTGTCTCCCCACTCACTTCCTCTGCGCTTCTCTGAGGCAGAGCTGGAGTCCACATCAGGGAACGGAATCGTAATTCTCAGTCCAGGTTGTTTTTTTTTACTCCCTGATATTTTAATGGATCATTAACAGAATGAAATTTTCCTGTCTCTGGATTGATTAGACTCTGTTCTTTGACTACAGTGTAGCCCTTAATTTTTTTTATAATTGTTCTGTTTGTAAGTTTTGAGTCCCTTTTTAATCATAATTTCTTAGTGGAAGCTATAAACTTTGGGCATTTATCAGGTTTACTGAGCATGTGGTCAATACTTTACATTTGTTAGCTTATTAAAATTTTTAGCCATATGACATTTTAATAGTTCATCTTTCAGTGCATAATTTTTTAAAACTCTTTTTCTTTTGTAGGTATTTAATGCAAGGTTGTTTAAAGTCCAAGAAAGACATTTATTTCTGGCCTATTTAGGAAGAGCACAGTATGATCCAGCAAAAGCTAACTACATCTCTTTGGACAAATTAGTATCAGTGCCTGATGAAATATTTTGTGAAGATCTTGCCAAAGCCTCAGTACAGGACTTTGAAAAATTCTTAAAAACTCTTTAGTTTTTGATGAATATTAAAATGTAATCATGTAAAATAAAAGTATGTATTAATAAATTAATATACTTCAAAAGAAATGCCTTGAACCTCAATTGATATTGGACACAATTTCTTGATATTATAAATTTGAGTACACTTCTGGTAGATCTTAAAAGTTCCTAGTGACTTAATTCTTTGACTCATCCATTTCCTTCCTTCTGGGGAAGGAGAAAACTCACAATATAGCAAGCTTAGAGAAACAGCCGGTTTTGCTATATAGGCTGGCGTTGCCATTTCTGGTGAAGATGAGAAGTGGAGGATTTTCCTCTTAAAGTCACAGGGCTTTTATTTTATTTTTTTAATCTTTTTTTTTTCAGGGAGGAGAGGGAGCGAGAGAAACATCAAAGATGAGAGAGAATCATTGATCACCTGCCTTCTGCACACTCCCTACTGGGGAATGAGCCCCCTACTCAGGCATGTTCCCTGACCTGGAATCAAACTGTGACCTCTTGGTTCGTAGGTCAACACTCAGCCACTGAGCCACATTGGCTGGGCAGTCATAGAGATTTTAAAGTGGCTTTATCACAAAACATCTGTATTTTCTTTGAAATGTTAAATGAATTTCTGGAGCATACTATATTATCTATCTACTACCTACTACTCACCTAATGCTATAAAACATGCAATTTTGGACTATTGACAGTGTTGTCTTCCCAAACACATACTCAGCGTTGCCCACAGGTGGCCACTGATAATGAGGAAAAGGAACAAGCATAGGGAGGAAAGTAGATGTCAATGAGACTGTAAAAGGTCAGAACAAACTTTTGACTTATTGTCTGTACACAAAGATTTATAACAAATTGATATTTTTTTTACATTTATCATTGAGATGTGTAATCCTGGGCAAATGATTTAACCTGTGAGTGTGAGTCTTTGGAAAATGAGGCATCATGACTTCAGTTATCTGCATTACACTCTCAAGACTGAACAGAGTGTTACCACTGGGGACCCCTAGGGAATCACACCTAGTATTTGCACTCACATAGTTTCCTCCAGGATGGAACTGAGCCAGTGCGATTTGGTCCATGGAGCATTTTCAAGCTTCTCAAGTGGAGGATGGATAAGCCCTTGCAGATTGGGTCTTACCTCTTGGTGTACAGTGATTCCTGGCCAACTCTCAGCCGTTCCAGCCATGCCAACTGCGTGCCAGACATGTGAGTGCAGAAGCTATCTGAATATTCCAGCCTCAGCTGACACATGGAGCAAAACTACTGGCTCAGTTCAGAATTGGGAGAAACAATAGTGTTTTACACCAGGGTCTGTTGGGCACCAGTATTTTGCGGCCTGTTAGATGTCCTGAGACCTCCGGAGAAATTAAATTTGTGATTGGTCAGGGCCAAGTATAGTGGCCTTTCTGTTACTGGTGATGTACTGAATAGTCCCAAAACTTCAAATGATTTAAAACCACCAGCTTCTGCCCTTGGACTGCAGAGTCCCGGGTTTGATTCTGGTCAAGGGCACATACCTTGGTTGCAGGCTCAATCTCTGGCCCCGGCAACCAACTGATGTGGCTCTCTCACATTGATGTTTCTCTATCTCTACCCCCTCCTTTCCATTCTCTAAAAATCAATGGAAGGATGTCCTCCGGTGAGGATTAACAACAAAAAACCCTAATGAATCCCAGCTAACATCCAGGCACTGGAGAGTTCATGCCTGCAGGAGCTGGATTCTGTGACAGCCCTGGGTATCGGATCCCCTCACAAGATCTTCCTTCTCTTGCCACTGAAGCTTACGGGGTAAGGAGGAAGGGACGGGAGTTGCTGAGTACTTGTAAGGCAATGTGCCAGTGTGCACATGTACTGCATGTCTTCACATCTCTGACCATTTAGGTATGTGTTTAGTTATGCGTAGAAGGTGACGTGAGAAGCTTCGGTGGCACAAGGAAAAAGAGAGAAGGCAACAATTTTAGAACTGGAATGGACTAAGACGATTAGATCTAACCTTTTGAACTTATGAGATGGATTCTACTGTCCTGGGTCTCAAGACCAAAGAAAACAAGAGTAGGTGTTCTTGGGTAGTTGCTGTGGACTGAATTGTCCCCCTCACAATTCACATGTTGAGACTCTAACCCCCAATGTGATGGCATTTGGAGATGGGACCTCTTGGGAAGTAATGAGGTTTAGATGAGGTCATGAGGGGATTAGTGCCCTTACCGAAAAGAAACACCAGAGGTGGCTCTCTCCCTGCCACGTGAGGACTCAGTGAGAAGACAGCCAACTACAAGCCACAGAAAGAGCTCTCACCTGAAACTGACATGTGGACACCTTGATGGGTCTCCATCTTCCAGAACTGTGAGAAAAAATGCTTTTTAAATTACCCAGTCTACAATATTTTATGGCAGTCTTAACTGACTGAGAAGTAGTAATGGCCCTGGCCTGTTTGGCTTAGTGGATAGAGCGTGGGCCCGTGGACTGAAGGGTCCTGGGTTCAATTCCAGTCAGGGGCACATGCCCGGGTTGTGGGCTTGATCCCCACTGGGGGGCATGCGGGAGACAGCCTATCGATGATTCTCATCATTGATGTTTCTATCTCTCTCCCTCTCCCTTCCTCTCTGAAATCAATAAAAAATATATGTTTAAAAAAAGGAAAAAAGAGCTTTCTCACTCCCCGGCCATCTTGGCAGCTGCATTTGGTTGGGGAACGTCCCACACTTGAGGCAAGAAGATGGCGGCCTCAAAGAAGACGAAAAATCGTTGGAGTCAATCAACTCTAGGCTCCACAACTCGTTATGAAAAGTTGAAAGTACATGCTGGGGTACAAGCAGACACTGAAGATGATCCGAGCAGGCAAAGCGAAGCTGGTCATCCTCGCCAACAACAGCTGGGCCCTTGAGGAAATCTGAAATAGAGTACTATGCCATGATGGCCAAGACTGGGGTCCATCACCACAGTGGCAATAATATTGAATCGGGCGTAGTGTGTGGAAAATGCTACATGGTATGCACACTGGCTATCATTGACCCAGGTGATTCTGATATCATTACACTCATGCCAGAACAGACTGGTGAAAAGTAAATCATGGGAAATTTTTTTTAAATAAAACTGGCCAGAGCATGGTCAAAAAGAAAAAAAAAAAGTAGTAATGGTAGCTCACCATAACTGAATAAGCACCAGTCATACTAACTCCCTTGATTTTTTTCTGTCCCTAGATTTTTATGCCCTAAACGGAATATGTTGGAGCTGAGCCTTAAAAGTGTACTTGCTTTTACCTTAGTTGCATGCAAATTCTGCGATACAGCTTAGATTTGACATTAAATCCGCCCCTCGCCCCTCATCCCCTGAACCAACCTTTAACCTTGTACTAAAATGGTTTGATACAGATCTTCAGCTGGAGAAGCTGAAGGCCAGAGAGGGTTAGTGTCTTCTGGATCAGAAGTGTGGCAGATGGCCCTGGAATGAAGGCGTCCCGAAGTTGTATCTGGATTCTTCCAGCTGTGTGTCCTTGGACAATTTATCCAACTCTTCTGAGCCTGCTTTCTCCTCTCTCCCATAGGGATAATCATAGTACTTAAGAATTAGAATTGAATGAGAGAATGGAACGAGAATATGCCCAGACCATGCTTAGCACGTTGCTTGGCCCAAGGGCGCGATTAATATCGCCCAAAGTCTCACAGCTCGTCACTAACAGGACCCAGGATACAGCCCCGGTGCCCTCATTCCTTCCCTGGGGTTTTCCCATCACGTCACGCGGAATGCTTCTCGGAACCGGGCGTGTCACACAGCCGGCTTACTCCGTTGCTAAGGACGCTGGCGGAATGGCCCGCACGACAGCTACCGTACGTCGCCGCGGGAACTGCGCCTGCGCAGGCGTCCTCCCGAGCCTCGCGCCCAGAGCTGAGGCGCCTGCGCACTGGACCCCGCGCGCCCTCCTGGACTTACCCAGTAGGCAACGCTTCAGTCTCGGGTCAAAATGGCGAGCCGGCCTGCCGGTAGGTAATTGGTGTCCTAACTGCTGGGCATCGCGGCGCCCAGCCTTTTATTCTCGCAGCAGCTTGCTTCTCTTCCTCTGCTCTCTCTCCGTGGCCGGTTCTGCGGCAGAAGGGAAGGGGCGGCTCCGGTCCAGCGCGAAGGCCGCCTTCCGCCTGCCCCCCGGCGACCCC